CCAGAACTGTGAGAGGTGGCGAATAGATAACCTAAAGTTGCAAGTAGCTAGCAAGGACTTCGATGAAGCAAAAGGTGACGTCCCTGGGTGGGTTTGAACCACCAACCTTTCGGTTAACAGCCGAACGCGCTAACCGATTGCGCTACAGAGACGTGAGGGCATATTCCCCATAACTCGTTTCCTGATTCAAGAAATTGCTTTTCAACCTCTGGCTGGGGACATCCTTAGATTCTCATATTCCGGAAGCCGAGGGTGCGCGCGGGAGACATTGAAGCCAAGAGTTGGTGTCATCGGGCACGTTTGGACATCGATAGAACGTTTGGGAGTCAGCTAGGGGACTCTGACTGCCGAACGCCAGATCGATGGCCTTCCCACCTGCTCCCCGCCTCAACAGCCGCCCGGCTCCAGGTGACGACCGCAGCCTCCCGGGCTGAAGTCCACGTTACCATTCTTAGCTTCGCTCGCCGTGAGTCCCCACTTGACCCTGTGGGCGCGCGTGCGAAGGACACGAACCAGCTGTGCCCCCACTGCGCTGCCCACGTTCTGCGCCTTTCTCTAGATGTGGACTCCAACCGGCAAGACCTCAGAACTGCTCGCGATGCAGCCCGCCCTCCAGGGCAGGGCCTCGCACCCAGTAGGCACTCAATAAATGCCCGGTGAAGGATGCATTCTGCCGCAGGGTTTTAGGCAACCAAGAATTACAGTGTGTGCTTTAAGCTTTTAGGCCTACGAGTAACTCCGGAAACGGAAGGCTGGAAAGGTTTCTCAAAGCCGGAGGCGCTTTTATTCCCGCAGCTGACTGAGAACAAGGCAAAAGCCTTGACTTTGGACACGTGCGCCCCGGGACCGAGCGGAGTTCCCCACCCTGGACTACGACTCAGCCTCGGTCTGGGGTCGTGCGTCCTGAGGGGTTGAATAGGGAAAGCTGAAGAAGAGGAGAAGAAAGCCAGTGGGAGTGGAGGCAACCCAGTGACGGACGGGGAGAGAGCGAGCTAGTGCTCTGGCCACTGAAGGAAAAGGCGAAAAGAAAACGGAAAATGCCTATTTTCGTTAAATAACTTTGATTACCCTCCCCCTACCTCCTCTTTGTCAGCCACCGCGCTGACCATGATTGTGTACTCTTGGATGCTCTCGAATCCGAATGACTGAGGTTCCTCTTTGAAATGCTTGGTTAAAGACCGCAACGCCGTGAGATGTCACCGGAGTCCAGACCTCGGAGCAGGTGGCGAGGCGCCCCCGGCCCCGCGCCGTAGGGGGCGCACAATCCCCTGCTCACCGCTGGAGGGTGAGACGGGACTCCGACTCCGCCCCAGCGCTCCGAGGCCGGGAGTCGGCTGCGCGCCTCCTCTCCCCCTTCCCCTGCGCCCTGTGCCTTGCGGAGGAATGCTGAAGAATGTTATCCAACCACTTGTACTGTCGGGTAGAGGCACTGTCAGAAGCAACCGTAGAGAGATACTGATAAAAATTCTGAAGAACAGAACGTCTGAGTAAGCTTAATCTCATTCCTGGAGCAGACTGAGTAATGCTGACTGTTTACTAAAGGTAGGATGATGACAACTGTAGCTTTAATCCCACATAAATAGAGCTGGAAGTCCACGACAGCTTTGTAGTCATGTGCGGGCTACCTGCAAGCATGCACTCTGAGTTTTTTTTTTTTTCTCAATAATAAACTTAGCTAATACTCAGTTGGTCAACATGCGTGCTCCTTTGAGTCTCGATTTCTTATTTCCCCAACAGCCTCACAGAAGAGGTGGAGGATGCGCAGGGCTGAAGCACCGAAAGGGCACTTGGCGCTGCCTGAATTCTCCCTTGTGACTGAAGACCTTGGAGAAAAGCATTCACGATTGTCGTGGAAAGTTAGAAAATTCCAGTAACAGGACTAAGGAGGTGGATCCGGTAAACCTCGGTGGGACCTCTTGGGATGAATTGGAAAAGACCCTTTTATCCTGGACGTCCTTTCCATTGAAGTCTGGGGTTCCATCTGAGCGGAAATGAGCACAGGGAGAGGCCGTTGTAAAAGTCCCAAAGGAGGGCGGAGTCGCTCCCTCAACCCGACCCCACCTCTGCGCAGCAGTTTCTACCCACTACCCCGGTTCCTCCTTGAAGTCGGAAGTAGGACGATCGTAGGCCTGGTCCGTGACTTACTGCCGATGAGCCCTGGGCCGGAGGAAATCCATTAAACTCTCTACAAACCTATTTCCTCATCAGCAACTCGCCGTGGTTGCCTTCAGTCTTGGCGCAGACATTTTCCATTTGGGCAACTGATACCAAGCTGGTAGGGAGAAGAGAAGCTCACGGCTTTTCGTCTTCCTGCTAGCTCAGTTTGTAGCGTGCACGACTTCTAATTTCAAAGGCTTGAGCATAGCCCAGCTTCCAGTGCGTTTTATTTGGTTTTCTTTGGATTAGTATCCGCAGTTGCAGGGCTGTACTGCTCCCCGCAGTGGCCACGAGAGGGCGCGTGGTCCTTCTCCTTGGAACTCCGTCCCAGGAACCACTACTTTGTCTCAGTTTGGTTAGTATAGAATTGTGATGTCCAGTAGTTTTAATTCCTCTGAGACCGGCGGAACCCAAGATCTCTTATTTTTCACCACCTCAACTCTAGGGTCATCTTGGGTCGAGGCATGGGAGGTTGATTGTGTAAGCTCAGCCTTCCTGCTCATTCTATCAGACTGGGGAAGCCTCACAAAGAAAACTGTATTTGATTCAACATATTAAAATTCATTATTCTCACCCCAGGACCTAGAATAGTGTATATAAATAGGAGATGTTCGATAAATATCTTTTTTAATAAAAAAATTCATTATTCTGAGAAGGGTGTGCAGGTTTCAGCAGATCACCAAAGGAGTTCTTGGTAGAAGAAAGATTAAAAACCCAAACACATGGAGAGAGACATTGGTGGGACGAAGACCCAGGCCCCGGGTGCAGCCTAAACACAGGCAGGGTAGAAGTGGGAAGGAAGACTCAGAGGGAAGAACGGCAGAACTGGGAGGAGGAAGAGGAAAGGGGAGGAAAGAGATGGATTCAAAGGAGAAATGTATCACTGGTCTCCAGTTATATGACAGCTGGTCTCTCTGGGCTTCCCCAGGCAACCATTGTCTTTTAAGGTAGCCTCTCACCCTTCCACCCATATGATTCTGGGAATTCTAGCATTTCCTATTAGGTCTACGAAGCCTACACCAAGTCCCCTCTACCGGGACCAGTTCTGGCCCCTTACAGATAGTCTTTTACTAATCCTTTCTTTTGTGGTCCTAGGACAGCCTGTAGGGGAGGCAAACTTCACCTCAACCCTCTTAGGGTCTCCAGCTAGGCCTGAGAATTAGATTGACATAAGACAGATTAAGAGGAGGAAAACATCCAGATTTTCACATGTACATGGGAGCTCCAACAGGAAAATTGAAAACCCAAAGAAGTGGCTAGGCCTAAGTATTTATATACTAGGTTGAACAAAGAGAAGTGATTATGGAAAAGTAAAACACATTGGAAGACTAAAGGAAGATACGAGTTATTTAAACAAAGTCTGTTTGTGTGGATTTCTCTCGGCCTTGACTTCCTGTCTCTGGTGACAAGAATGATTGTACTTGCTGTTTTCCAAATGCCTTTAGCTCAAAATAATTCTTATGCCAAATTGGCATACTTTGGAGTGGCATATAGTCAAAGCATTGGAATATAGCCAAAGAACAGGATCCTCAGCCCAGATGTCCTTGTGGTGCTGGGGGGTCACCACGCTGAAAGTGAATCCAACAAGCCTAGATTGGTTTAGTTGTGCTTGTTAATAAAGTAAAAACAAAATCCTTGGACCAGGTCATTTTAAATGTGGAAAACAGTGTTCAGATTATTTAGACATCAGTAATGTGTGCAATTAAAACTTAATTTTAAGGCACTGAAAAGAATCCAGGACTTCCACCTACAGCTATAGTATAGTAATGCCACCAGTTTAGTCTTCTTGCCGTAAACAACTATAAAAATGGACAAAATATGTGAAGCACCTGTTATAGACACTGGACAGAGGCAGTGCAAGACTATGATTGCCTGAGAGAGGGTTGCGGAAATGACCTGATTGTGGTATATAGCAATCTGGAATCCCAGCAGAGCATGGTGTTCACACCGAGCTAAGGTAGATATCAGAGGACAGCTGAAGCAACTGGAATCTGCAGAGAACCAGAAAGGAGAAGACAGTTTACAGGCTAGTTTTCAGAAATCCATAATGGGTCTCCTGCCAGTCATTTGCTGAGTGCTGGGCTGCTCATGTGTGGAGAGCTACTACCAAGGCTTACCGGACAACAGATGCTACAGGATGGAAAACAGAACAGAGATCTTAGAAGTCTCTGCTGGCAACATTGGAATTCAGGCTTTGTTAACGACTCTTTACCACCCTGAGCATCCAGTTGATACTCCAGAAAGGCTGCTTTAGGAGTAAAGACCACAACCTAGTGTGAAGCCTACTCTTGATCCTCCCTAAAAAAGGATAAAACCAAGACCTGACAAGATGAGCAGGGTTTGGACGTTGAGTCACACCAAAGAGGGCTTTGGGAAACACCCTGGACTTTCCTCCGATCTACTGAGAAACCATTAATCCAGTCCTACACATGTTCAAGGTCACTGGCCAGTAATCAAAGTGCGTAGTAGAACAAATGTTGATACTCTTTGGAGGAAGATATCAGAATCCAGAGTCTCTACATTGCATCATTCAAAGTGCCCAGTAAACTATAAAAAATACTAAACACGCAAAGAAACAGAAAAATGTGACCCGTTCAATACATATTCTTAAAAAGGAAAACAAAGCAGGTAAAAGAAACCAACTCCAAGATGTCTCAGATGTTGGATTTAGCAGACTTTAAAGCAGGGTTGCATTTTATGTGTGGTTCAGCAACGTGGGTTCCACTCATCATGGCTAATCTAGCTACAATCACTAGTGGTGCCCAAACAGTCAACAGCAGAGAACAACTCCGCCCCTGATAATGACAGCAGTCCCTAAATCGTTGAATAAAGACAACTAGATGTTCACATTTATCTGGCTGAATTTTATTTGTTGATAGTAGCTAAGAAGACAGTTGTTATAGATATCACTGACAGTTGCAGAAAGGAGGTCCATAACAGGTATGAATATTTCCTTATTATATTACTAATAGTTTTATATGTATCAAGCAATATTTTTCTCTTTTCCTCTTTCATCCCACTACCAGCTAACAAAATCTGTTGCTAAGAGTTAACTTTTAATTGCAGTATTTATTACAGCATATCTAAGGTAAAAAGAATGTGACTCTGCTGGAAGAACAAAAAACATTCAAACTTTACTCTCTTCTGTGGAAAGATTGGCATTTTTTTTCACTGTTTGAGATAAGCATAATTTTGTTATTGGCTTTGTTTGAAAGTTAAGAATGGCTACCAAAGGAGGAAAAGGAAAAGATATATAAATATAGATATCTCCCTATGTATGGATGTCAAGTGCAGAAGATGTTTTTTGTGCAAGATTCGTATCAATATTACTAGGCTAGAAAAAAATCTCCCAGAACTCCCTTCTCTGCATAGTTCTGGGTTAACTTCGACCATAGGACATCAGCTGAGACTTTGAAAACGGAAAGGGAAGTGGCTACCACATTCATTTGGACCCTGAAAAGGTTAGAGAAGTCACCAGCGCTTTTTACTATTTGCACATGCAATTTATCAGCTGATAACAGGGAGGCTTGCAACAATCTAGAGCTCCTCTCACATTTCTTTCTACTGCTCTGGATCCTTGACCCAGCAGGGTGTTTAGCTTCTAGCAAACAGCAGTAACAAAACACTCTTCTCGGCCAACAGCAGTAACAGAACACTCCTATTTTTAGACTTTGGACATTAGAAGTAGTAACACACCGACGAGAACTCCAATTTTTCTTTTCTTGAGAACTTCATTTCTTCATTGAGTTTCCTGAAGCATCTGCTCAGGATCCTGCAAAAACTTTCTTGCATCTGATCTCACGCAAGTCTGTGTGATAAAAAACAATTAAATTCCCAGACACAAACGTAAAACAACTGAAATTTTCTAAATTTTAAGGTGTAACAAGGAAGCACAGTGAAATTGAAAAGAAAAAGAACTCGGCATACATACGAGAACGAAAACGCTTTTTCACCTTCCACGCCGCGATACGTTGCCTTATCAGACATCTGTGCTCTCTACTGCCTTCTGGAAACACAGCAGAGATCCGCAAAAACCGAATCTTTCCACTTACGGCTGTTAGTAGTATTACAATGACCTGCAACTATCTTCTCTTTCACTGACAGTCACTGACTTGGCTCATTCAATTACTTAATAACAAACAATACTCCTGCAAAAGTAAAATGAAAAGGTGTTTCTGGAATATCAGTAATAGTCCACACACATAGTTCAATTGCCATACCTGAAAACACACGGTTAACGTTCAGGTAACGTTCAAGAATCCTGTGTGGTAAAAATACCACCATCACAGAGAAAAGCAACACTGTTTTTAAAATATATAAATAAGCAGGGAACAGCGCGAACGGAGTCCCCCACTATCACAAATTTTGCAGTCGAGTTTCCTACATTTGGGGAAATCGCAGGGATCAGCAAACCCAAAGTGCAATGAATAAGCCTCGCCCTGAGAAAACCATTTTCCTGATCATGGTATCTCCTCTGCCAGGTAAGCATGAACTCTGTATATTCGGCCCTGACACACCCTCAGACGCCTTATACTGTACACACACGGTCACTTTCCTCCCCGCAGCCCCGAGCCTTCTTGCCCCTTCCAGACAGCTGATCCATGCACTTGCAACCAACAGCCCTCGATTCGCTCCCACACTACGGGAGATCATTTCGTCTTTCACCACCAGATCACGAACCAGCAGACCCTGCGCTGAGATATCTACATACGACACGCCCCATCCGTCAAGCCAACGGGAATTACCGCTCCCATCCAGCCCACGCCCCGCCCTACTCCGCGCCTCCCTCCTCCCACGCCGTCCAGACGAGCCTACCAGAGGGCGGGCGCCCTCTGGGGGAAGTGACGTCGACCGCTCGCTCTTTTCCTCCCACCCGCCCCCACCCGTTGGGGCCTTGCGCGGGTGACTGGCTGCATAACCTCTGTCCTGCCGAGCACCTGTCTGGCGGCCTGCTGAAGCCTGAGCACCTTTTTGAACTGTAACGGCTTTCAATGCGCAGAATAGAGAACATTTAGGAGTCCAGGGGAAACCGGTTCCTTTCAAATCCAGTTGCCTTTGTGATGTACTATTGTGTGTACGTCTAGTAAAACGCATTAACCATTATGACTGGCGGTGAACTCTATTCCATCTTGAAAGTTCAATTTCATTCATCGGAAATTTCATTCATTTTATTTCCATTTTCAGGTTTTGATTCTATCTTCGAACAGATCTTAACATCTATCTACTACCCTCTGTCTTACTGAGACAGGCTGGGACCTGGGACCCTTTCCTGCAGTGTTTGCACCTGGACAAACTGGGGCAGAAGATAGATGGGCCCCAGGCTGAGCAGTTGGAACCCGTCCCCTGTGGACAGATACTCCAAGGTAAAACTAATAGCAGCAGCACGGTGGAGCTGAGTCCTACTTGGATAGAATATCAAGAGACCACATATTTCTTATTCTTGAGGTCAAGGAGACCTCCCAAACTATACATGCTCAGAAGGGTTCCTCTGGGGTCAAAAGGGAGGGAGGGAGCCACTCCATAATAGGTGATGTCAACCTCCCCGTAGGCCTCTGGGCCAGAATCTATCTTGGCAAAAAGATGCACACGCATGTCGGGAAGGGCACTAGGACAGGTTAGGTGTGAAAAAGAATCGAGATAATTGGCTAAAGGTAAACAAAGACCCAGAAGAAATGCCCTATATAAGTGATTTGAATCATCTCTCTGGTGCGCTCTTCCTCATTAGGGAGGATGGCCACACCCTTTATCTCCGGGTGTGTATCTCTGCCTTGCTTCCGTCTTAAACTGTTTCTCTGTGTGCCCTCCCACTTGTGCTGTGGTTCTAAAAATAAACTTTGAACCTGTTTTTACAGTTTTTGCCTCCTTGAAAAATTCATTTTTCAATACGGGCAAGAGCCAGGACAACTTTGCTTCTAGCCCTAACCCCTTGTGGACTGGTGGCTAGGATTCCTGCTTTTCACCCAGGCCAGCCACGTTCAATTCCTGAGCAGAAAACAAAGATCTCAATTCAAGCCACCACTGGCTGCTATCTCCTCAAGATCAAAACGTCTCCTCCTTCAACAAAATACAAAGAAACTATATGAGACTAAAAATAACTGCGTGCATGCTCCGTTGGGAAGAATTATGAACAACAAGATACAAAAAGACCAAAAACCTAACTGCCATCTCTGAAGAGCTGGTAGCAAAAATAGGGAACTGCACATGCCCCCTGCACACAACACCACCAAATGGATGGGCAAACCTAAGCCACTGCCCAGCCCAACCCCGGAACCCACCCCTATCCTGGCCCCATATAAGGAACCAGCTGGCCGCTGCCCCCGGCCCCCACCTCCAAGCAAGGGAACCTGTTATTTGTTTTCCTGCGTCAGGGATCGCAGTAAAGCCTTGCCTGAATTCCTTGTCTGGCCTGTTATCAATTTCTATTCATTAAGAAAGGCCAAGAACCCTTGGTAAACAAATAAGCTGAAAGCAATCAAACAGCTAGTCCGGATAGGTAAATTTGGTGAAGATGACTAACTAATCAGGTAAACGCTTTTGGCTATGTGTGGATGCTCCAAAAATTCTTCAGAGTTTAGTGGTGAAATGGATGTGGCGGCTTCGGCTTTTCTTTCGGTACGACCTGCCAGTGTCCTCCCTTTGGCACCTCTGAGTTACTTAAGCCTAATTGAACTACTTTCCTCATCAGAA